TTCGCGATTAGAGGCACCGAGTGCACTGTTGGTTCATGGGAAGAATAATGGAAGATTTATGTTTCTTCAGATAATTAAGTGAAATTTTAGTTACAACTGAGATACATAACGTTTGTTTAAGGTAATTCAGATTTTTGTTTTTAATTAACCCGTGTTCTCCATCTTCATAAATCAGACACTGTTCAGTTGGTCGTTTAGCAGCAATTAATTAATTCGTGTTCTCTTCCTTCATAAATCAGATACTGTTAAATCGTTTGTTTAGCAGCAAGGAGGCTCGAATTGAATTTTATAAGGAACATTGGCTATTTAAATTTGCTGATTCCTTATTTTACAATTAATCGATTAAAATATATTTTCAACGTCTCTTCAAGGAATACAAACTTGCGTTGAGGCTTGCATGAGATAATTCTATTTCTATTTTTTTATGCGAGATAATTGAAGGTTCAATCTTGGTATTATGTAACAAGTGGTATAATGCTTGTGAACGCAGCCAAGGCAAAATAATTTCAGCCTTACAACGAATTGGTCAACGAATTGAAAGAATTAAATTGAAACTTGATCATTTATAATTATCTTTGTCCTTTTTCATTTAATGATTTCTTTTTTCAATTATGTCATATGTAATTAAATTCGTTCAATCTTTTATATCGCTTATCGAAATGTCAGTGTGGATATTGCAAATGGGAAATGGTGAACTTGATAACACCTAATTTATCTCATAGTCTTCATCATACAAATACCGAATTCTAATTCGGTTCTTCCTTTTTCATTATTACACGAGGTCGCACAGCTTACATAAACGTTTGATCTTACTTCGTCGAAAAACACCCACTATTTAGTACGTCTGATATTCGTTCCCAAGGATCAATGTTTCAGTCCATCATCGCGTTACTTAACTAAACAAAGTGATTCTTCTCGTACACGAATATCGTTCCATCGAGAATATAATGCATATGAATTCTATTATATCTGTTCGCTCCACGTCACACCAGAGGCACATTGAAAGTAAAACGCATTTGCATATACTTATGTGTTTCCATTACACATTTTGTTTTGTAATTAATTCGTACATCTCGTTCCCTCGATAACAATCTTTCAGATATTTCTATACAATAAAGATTTCCGTGCGAAATCTTCAGCATACTCGTTAATGTAATGTAATTTTTTTAATTACTATATCTGCAACAATTTGTTATTTCATTGGTATTATCTCGTAATCTTTCTTTCCTCTCTTGTAAACATCGTGTAATTACTTATGTAAGACTTCGAGGAAAAATTCGACTGGCCCAACGAACACAACGTTATTAAATAAATAAAAGAAATATTTGAAATATTGAAAAAGTGGAAAGAAATATTTAAAACTGAGATAGGGAATAAAATTTGACGTAAATAAAAATAAAAAATAAAATTCTATGTGATAGCATAGATAGAGTGTATAAGACAGCAATCGATAGATACAATAATATACCTTTTGGGCACTTGTCAACAATAATATCAAATTCTATTATTCCGCATTCCTTTATGAGTAGTATAATAGAGACCATGACAGAGGTCGTAAAATCAGTCAGGAGTGAAGTAAACATGTTTCGAATTTCAAGACAGGTAAATTGGCAGAAATATGAGCAGATAAGTACCTGAAACCATGTACAGGCTAATATATAAAAGTAATTAACCCAGTTTTCAATTTAATCCAGGATATATATTTCATACAATATATTTGAATAATATATTCAAATACACTTATTTATGTGTAATATACATTTTAGATATTTTTATAATATCGTAATATTATATACGTTTAAATATATTCAAATATACTTAGGTCACACTTGTTCTTTATTTTCAGGTTTATTAATGCACGTAGTATTAATATTTATTTCTCCACTGGTAAATGAAAAGTCTTCAAACATATGGCGCCCTCTTTTCATTGCGCAAAACCCTAAAACAGAGTGCAACATCAGTCAGTGTTGCTTCCTAATGGTTTAATTTACGATCTCGCTATATCATAGTTCGCACTGTATCCTATTTTCATACTAGGTCTGTCACTCTGCTTTATTAAAGTGAGATATAATATCAGTTAGAATTAGGCCTCGTTTTAAAATCAGATATTTACCAAAGACACATTTCTAATAAATATTTGTAAACGTTTATATTGGATACTTTTCAAATGTCAAATCTAATCACAGACGATAATAATTTGTCTCTATTAAGCCATTGTATTAAACTCGAAAGAACACCTTTTTTCAATCTATTGATACTGCACTGAACATTCAAACGTTATCTATATGCGCGCGCATTTGCAATGTTAGACAAGGAAATTAGCGAACTCTAGCGGCGTTTAGTTGCTACGATTATAAAACGCATGTCAGTTTGTATTACGACAATAAAAACCACATGAAAACGTATCTTTACAACATGGTGCTAAATAGCAAGAAACACGAGAGCAAATCTAATAATACAAATTCCAAGATTGATTGAAGCAGTAATGGCGAGATACAGAAATATAAACGAGGTAAATATTTGATTTTATTATTCACGATTGGTAAGACGCTATTGAACACGTGGATTCTTGCAATTCGAAATTCCAAGCCAGGTAATAATTCTAAAACATTTTAATATATTCCCAATCGCTTCACTCACACTTATAAACGTCGATGCACATGTGAAATTGTTTCTGTCAATTCGAATCATGTTCAGAATTCTTTACTTATTCGAAATGATGATTGCAACGTATTATTACATGGAGTAGAAAATAATACTGTTTTACAGCCACTGATATCTGTATTCTAAACACGTTTTGAATTTCAAAATCACTGCAACGAGAGACTGAGTTTTGTAACGCACAGTATGCTACTTTTAGGTTATATGGCGCTGCCGTATACCTCGTTCAACGAGCGTCTTGCAACACAGACGAACTATACTACAGCGTTCCAACAATGTGCTCGTGTCGTGCATCATCACTCTGTGTCCAATGCACAGCTAGGCAGTGCTTCCTCTTTTTCGTTAAACGCAAAATACACGCGGCTTATGTATATTCCACGATGTTTCACGCACGAAGAGAGTCACGTGCGCGTGTCTCTGGCCGGTCGTGCGATCTTCTGTTGGCTCGCAATCGGTCGTGCTGTTTTCCTCGGATGATTCGGTGTGGTCTTAATGCTGGGAACATATTAAGTTAGAACGCGATGTGATCTAATCTCGTAAATTGTCGCGGCTAGGAAGGGAAGGGGATCGAAAGCGTTGAAGGAACGTGGACGCGATGCGTCAAAGTAAATCGTTCGTCGCGAAATCCGTTTGATTGTGGCTATTTTAGATTTTATTGATAAACGGATTTACGTAAAATTCGGCAATTGCGCAGCTGAATACATTTGGATGGGATCAAATTTATTGGTACATTTTGTAAAGTAAATAGGGTAATTAAATTTGGATAAAAGTTGAATAACAAGATATGTATGGATATAAATGGAATTTTATGTTTTTTATTATCTTGGAGGAACATTTTTGAAGGTAAAGAACGATTATGATATCATTTTTTGAGAAGGATTGAAAAATGGAAGAAATGAGTAGGAAAGTGTGAAGAACTCAGTAAATGTAATGCATCTAAGATTCTAAATATGAATATCTTGTAAAATTATTGTAAGAAAGGTTCTTCATAATTTTTCATTTGTCATGCCACTCATTTAAAACTAAAAAATTACTTCTGTGTTTAAATATAGATTTATAAATTACTAATATATACAATGAGAAGCATAAAATGATGTAGTACACAAATATTATTTTAATTATTGGTGAAATTTTATGATACTAATGTAAAAACTAAAGTAAAAAGAAACATATGTATAATGATGTTTCTTTTCTTTTATCTAAAACCATTTATATTAGTTGACTTCAAGGAAATCTGATTTCAATATTCATTACGATATTAGATATTATATCAATTATTACAAAAAAATATAGTCAAGATAAAATGTAACGTATGACTTGCAGTATATAATAGATTCATGAGTGTAAGTCAATGATAACAATAGATAGCTATGACTCAGAGAATATTGTTCAAGTAATCTTTACTTTTAGCCTCTTTTTGCCTTAAAGGTATAAAATAATATTGCCTTAAAACATATTTATGTACATTAATAAGATAATAAATTTACTATAGTATGAATAGAATATCTTATATTAAATAATTTCAAAAAGAAATGAGAAAGTAATAATATCACATCATTTTATGCTTTGATGTATTAATTAACTTTAAATAACAATGGAGTGATATAGATGAAAAATTAAATGTAACACACTGTATATAGTCTATATCTAATGTTTCTCTTTATAATTTCACAAAATTCACAAAATTTTTTAAAATATTTATTTAAAAAGAAAATTAATTGTATCTCTTCATTGATAAACTTATTTACACATATCTTTCATATCATCAAATGATATCATTAAATCGTTATCATATTTTTACCATATCATTGTTCCTACAATTTTTATTTATCTACAAAATAAATTTTCGACAAAGGCAAAAGAAATTTCATCGTTTACATAAATGCTATGGTAGTTTCATCTGTAAGTCTGTGAACACGTTTACAAGAGTTGTCAAAAACGTCTACTGAAAGCATATGTCACTTAAAATAAGACACAAATCTTATAAAGTCTGCCAAATAATTCAAAGGCAAGAGGAAGTTAAATGGTAGACTTCCATGCTCACGTAAAGCTCATAAGCGGAAATTGAACGTTTGATGCACGAAACCAGGAAGAGGGGTGGGGATAGAGCTGCATGACGGTAAGACGCAAGTAGGAGGGAAGAGGTAAAGGTAGGAAGAGAAGGCAAAGCGCGAGAGGGATAGAATGTGCTCGAACGAAAACAGAAGAGGGGGCAGTTGTCGGCGAGACGCGGCAGGAGGAAGGGGACAGGACAGTCGTGAGTGCACGAAGAAGCACGAAGTGACGAGTGGCGGTGGAAGCTTGAGGCGAACGCCGGTTCTCTCACTTGTTGAGTGTCGAGCGACGAACTGAGTCCTACCGTTCGTTCGTACGGCGACCGGTAGAGACAACGGTCGCGTGTTTTCTCTTGTGCGATATATACAACGTGCGCTTGCTCGTGAACACACGCGGTGCATGCGAGAACGTGATAGGCGCGCGCATGTTCGACATTTTGAGGATCGTGTGCGCGGGTGAAAACGTATATGCGCGCGTCGATGGCGTACGGTGTCTCTCGAGTGATGATTCGATCGATCGATTGTGTCGTCGATAGTATAACTTCGAGCAGTGACGAAGAGTTTTATGGAGGAAGGTGAATTGCGCGGTATACAAGGATTGTTGTTGCCAATCGCGTGCCTTATCATCGTCATTCACGGGCACGGCGAGCAAAAGTTCCTGGAACAGCGGACGGCATCTATTTTCGAGTGCTCGAGTCACAGTATCTTCGCGCCGACGGCTTGTCCACCATCATTATTCCGGCGTATTTGTTCTAGATTAAAGTGCACGCGATCGGCCGGCGTTAAATCCGAGCGGATACGCCGGGACTATGCACGATCGATCGTGTCGTTGAATCGTCGTAGAATCGATGGAAGAAACGTTGTTTCCGTACGCAGAGACGGGCCATCTTATTTTCATTGGCGATCAGAACGACCGGTCAGGTCGATACGTCGCCAGTGTCGGAAACAAGCGTTGCCACCGTCACCATCGGCGATCATTGTTGTCACGATTGTCCTACACGCGCATTGCATAAGCGTCGTTCGTGTGATTACGTAAGACTGTGGTTCATTTGCGGGAAAATAATTGTAAAATCGGACATAGATTACGAGTGTGTTGGGTCGTTACGTGTAATAATTGTAATAGGAACGTATATAATTTATTCAGAGAAAATAACGAGTCGTTAGTTAATAATCGTTCTTCGATCATTTACAATTGCGTGTTATTTCACATTTACGAAAGTTACGTCCATTTTGTTTCACGTGTCAACATGGGGAAAAGAAGTGTAGACTGAAAACAAAAACATTCACGTCGTTCGTCTCGTAGTCCTTGGTGAATGTTTTTGCAGTGATAGTTGTGAAGTTCGATTCTCGTGGAGCCTGGAGTGTTGCGCAGTAACGTCGCGAGTCGCGAGGCATTTCAAATTTCCCGCGCACGGTGCACGTGTAGGAAAAAACAACAATGGCGATGAAGAGCAGGAAACAGTATACCGGGACCAGCCTTGGATCGAAAAGTCATTATCCTGCCATCAGTCAAGCATACTGGGCACCACAGCCGCAAAATACACCTTATTCCGTCCCAGGTATCGTTGCTTTCAGTTAAAATGTTAATGTCTAAAGGTAATTTAAGATATAATAATAGTGCAGAAAAGAAAACTATGCACAAATGAATGTTTGAATCTAAGTAGTTTTAATAATGATTAAATGTTATTGAAATTTACAATTTTATGATTTTTCAGTGGATGGAAAGCAGTTTTTAGTTAGTTTTATATATTTTTGGGCATTGATAGGTTTTTGGGATATAAATTTATGTAAGTTTTATATCTTATTATATTATATAAGATATTATAAATTTATGTAAGTTTTATGTCTTATTATTATAGTTTTCTTATTTTCTCACAAAACAACATGAATATTTAGTACAAATGTTTTTCTATGGGGAAGATGAATCATAGTGAAACCACATGTATTATTTTAAACTCAGAATCATTTCAATATACTTCTAATCAACTACATAGTTTCCAATTATTGAATATTATTGTACTATTATTTTTGATGCTCAAGCAACTTTAATAATAGAATATTATAATATTCAAAGTAATGATCAAAATTGTTTATTACATTTGGGATATGAGAGCATTAAAATTAACCTGGCGTGTAATATAAAAGTTAAACACATTATTATGTACTAAATATTCATTTTATTGTTAATTCTTCAATTTCATAACTCTCCAATCAGTGAAAATAATTTTTAAATGTAAATAATTTTGTATTTCAGGTGTAAACTATTAGCTAGGGAAGTATGTAACAAAGTGTATTTAAAACAATATTAAATAACACTATAAAAATGCAATTGAACTAGAATGCAAACATTGCTAGCTTCTCTTAGGACAGGAAATCACAAAAATAGGGGACTGCTTTTCCAATACCATCTTGTTAGGGAAATTGTAATTTCATCTGCATTTGACTATTTCAATTGCTGTCTTCAGTTCTTTACTAAAAGTTACATAATTTTGTGGAGACAAAATGAAACTTCTACTCTTTTCAAACAAATTAATTAGGTATAAAGAGCAAAACATTTGTCTGAACAGATTTTAATATTGCATTTGTACTTAATAATTTTAAGAATAAATTGAAAACAGAATTATGTAACTTTTACAACTTGAAGTAAAAATATTTCAAATAGTGAGATACAATAAACAATCTTTGTAGAGATTATTAAGTTATTTATCAAAATGTACTTTAATCTTAATCAGTTGTTGTCTTAGTTTAGTTTCTCATATAAAATCATTTCCTTTTGAATATCATGGTGTATTACAGGACACATTCATTTAATATACAGTAGGTTCTTCAACTCTAAGTTTCAATTATTTCAGATTACCCACAATCATAATTTAAATGTTTATATCGGTATCAAATATATTTGAAATAGATAGGGTGGTCTAATTTATGTAACTTTTACAAGTTGAAGTAAAAATATTTCAAATAATGAGATACAATAAGTAAATGTACTTTAATCTTAATTCAGTTGTTGTCTTAATTTAGTTTCTCATATAAAATCATATCCTTTTGAATATCATGGTGTATTACAGAACACATTCATTTAATATACAGTAGGTTCTTCAACTCTGAGTTTTAATTATCTCAGACTACCCACAATCATAATTTAAATGTTTATATCGGTATGAAATATATTTGAAATAAATAGGATGGTCTAATTTATGTAACTTTTACAAGTTGAAGTAAAAATATTTCAAATAGTGAGATATAATAAATAATCTTTGTAGAGATTATTAAGTTATTTATCAAAATGTACTTTAATCTTAATCAGTTGTTGTCTTAGTTTAGTTTCTCATATAAAATCATTTCCTTTTGAATATCATGGTGTATTACAGGACACATTCATTTAATATACAGTAGGTTCTTCAACTCTGAGTTTTAATTATCTCAGACTACCCACAATCATAATTTAAATGTTTATATCAGTATCAAATATATTTGAAGTAGATAGGATGGTCTAATTTACGTTTATCTATTTTTCAATACTTCTTAAATAAAGCACTGCTGATGGTATCAAGTATACGAGTATTTTACTTTAACATTCTACGAGTTTAGACGTTCTTGAAGCTCTCAAAACGCACGTTGTCGGCGTGAATAATCGGTTTGCACGCGTCTATTCACCTGCATTTGTATTCTCAGCCAGCAGTGGCCGTTTTTATCGTCGGTAACGGACTATAACTTCAATCTGTCTCCTTGCTTCTAATATCTGTTTTATACACATTGGTGATTCTACTATCTGAATAATAGAACTGCACACACGTTATTAGTCACCGTTAAGTCGATAATTTATAACAATGTTTACATAAGCGGAAAAGATCGTATCCTTTCCCAACAAGGCATTAATACGTTTTCCACATTCCAGTTGTAAACAGTTCTGTTATTTTCCTTTAATTTTACTTTCATCCAAGTAATTAGCTATTCTAATACTATCAAGGTGTGTTCTAGGAGTCATTTTTTGCCTGCTTTCTTAACATTAAACTCACTAAAGTTTAGTGAAATAACGTTTAGTAAACGAAGAAATAAAATAAGAAAAGCTTTAGAAAAATGAAACTCGCGGAGATGTTGAAAAATCGATTATACCCGTATTAAAAAAGAGAAAATAGAAATTACAAAGACAGGTGACCAAAGTGGCCATTTAAGGCTGATAGGTTTAGCGTTAAACTGCATTCTTCGCATTATAGATACCAAGAACTTATTTTCTTTCAAAAATCTTTCATCATCTCAATCTGAAATTTCATCACACCCGATTTCCATAAAATTCATATTCTTTCTACCATTCTATTAACGCATTGAATAACAAAATAATGTTACCTATCTCTGCATGCAAACATTTACAAACTATATGATTACTTGCGTACACATCTCAACGCTGCACGGTAAATTACCCTAACGAGAAAAAAGTGCAGATAACCGTAACTCGTTTCCAGAACGAAATCTCTCCTCGATCCACAGTTACGAATTAATCCGTAGAGCTAACTCGTTAAGAAATTAGCCCAGTGGAGAAAAGGTTAATGACGTAAAATAATCGTTAACGCGCTACTCTACCAGTGGATAAATGGTAATTACTTGCAAACAGATACAGGTGGATGATAATACCTCTCACTGGAATAAAGCTATCAACAAGCAGCAAGTAAGCTCTCCAGCTTACGGTAACAATAACATAAAATATCCAACTCCTAACGATAATGAGTTCTTTCTTCTCAAGTACCATTTAAAGAAATTAAAAATCGTAAATACATACGTATGTGCAACCTGGAAAATTTTCGCGTTGGCTCTGCAAGGTTTACGAGGTATTGTCTCTGCGGAGCTAAGAAATCTATAGATCAATCGATCAGGACGATAGGACTGTCGAAGATGATGACGTTATGAATGCTGGTGTCAGTAGTTGTTGGTTGAATAGAATGAATAAATATGTTTCTGCATAAATATACGTGGCAGCGTTGCGTATACCGCCTGAGCCATCACTATTAATAAAATAAAGGTATCCCCGAGTTTGGCCGACGTGAACAATCACTCCATCTGCCAGTTGACATTTCTTTTCTTCTTTTGATAAATTAAGCTGGTGGTTATAACGTCATTTTATTCAAAAAAAGAAGGGAGAGAGAGAGAGTAGTAGTAGGAAATTTAAATTTATCGTTTGTATCGTGGTATAATAATGTAGAATCATTTATGAGAAGACTCATTGGAGATTAGGAATTTGATTTAATGGTGGTGACAAGGTCGTCTTTAACTCTCTGTACTAGAATAATGCATGCAATTGCAGCGATGGGATATCAGATTTGTCTTCAAATTTGAATATTATCGTTAGAGTAGTGTATTATAAGGGTAAAGGACAAAAGGGAATTGTCTCGAATCAGATTTAGCGAAAAAATTAATTTTCGATAATTTAATTCACTTATGATTGATGAACAGGTCTGTATTCGGGTTCAGTGAAGTTCAGTATATTTTTTATAATTTGAAATTTATACTTTTGGACTTGTTTCAGAGAAAAGAAATAAGCAGGCTTGGAATCTTAATTGCTATGACCAGAATATATTTGCGCACTATGGCATTCATTATTTTTTCCCACTTATTCTCCATTTATGAAGACAATAGCGAATATATTTCACGAGCGTGAAGAGCGAAATATTTTTAAAATTTTATTTTATTTTGAAAATACTAAGATGCTATGTATACCTAAATTAAGAGGAAATAGCATTGCTTTATAGTTTGTCGCGTTACATCAGAGCTAATGATATGGTATTTTAAACGTAGAGGGTTAATATTTCAGAAATGTAGACTAGACTAGTTTTAATGATCATCATTAAGAGCATTCGCTTGTGACGTTTATGATGTACGGAATGCACATCATAATTTAGTTTGGAATACGGTTTGGTAAACAAGAAAATTCGTCGCTACATAAATTTCTAGAAATTCATGTTTCCGGCCATTTAAAATTTTTCCAGGCATATAATTAATAGTTATTAAGCTTTTTATATTGTGGTAGCAATGTTCCTCGGTGATAGTCATTAATTCGTCATTAATACGGGTGTTCCACGATAAGACACAAAATTTGAACGAGTTTGAAGTATTGTAGCAATATTTGCAGGTCGGCCAATTAATTTCCCACCAACTTGGTGTAATGACATATTTATGTAATTACCGAACCACGTGAGATCTGTCCTGATAAATATTCCGTTGTAATATCTTCGTAATATGGATTTCAATTATATTGAATTGAAAAATCGGCGGCAGCTTGTCGATGATACCATGTTAGAATTAATTAAAGTATTACGTCGATCTGCGCATGGCGTTCACAATTTACGTAATCTAGGCCACAAATCGATCAGAGAGGCAGAATAGTTTGAGTCAAGGTAAACTCAATACCGTTTAGGAATTACTTGAAACTCCTGTGTAAATATAGTAATTAAGAGTAGAGTTGAAAGGTCACTGACCTGGTTAGCCAAAATCGTATAAAATTCAGGAACTGCATTTAAGTATGGCTATTCAGCCTTCTGGCTAATGGTGTAATGAGCTGTCCACT